TGTATATATATACATATATATGTATATATATACATATATATACATGTACGTATGTAAATATATGTATATACAGACACACACATATATATACACACACACTCAGACACACACACATATAAATATATATATGCACCAACACGCACACACATATATATGTATATGTATACCTGTATCTCTATATATGTATATGTGCATATGTATATATTTTCATATATATACATACATACACATACACATACAAAAACAGCAAACATTATCCTGATTATAATCAGAATATTCATGAAATTTCAAAGGAAATATACTTCTCCATCATATATGTGTATGTGTATATATGTATATATATGTGTATATATGTATATCTCAAGCTATATCTATATACGTATATATATGTATATATATATATATACATATATACACACATGGCAAACATTATCATGGTCACAATCAGAATATTCATGAAATATCAAAGACAATAGATTTCTCCACCATACCTAATGCACATACTAATTAGATTTAAAAATAAAAAATGTTTCCCTTATTTTTCTGAACCATTAAGAACTTTCAGATGAATTTCCCAAAAGGACCAAATAATCAGAACTTGCATCGCTTTGGAGATCCGTTTCTTCCCGTTCACGACTTAGAACAGCATTCCGCACTCTTTCTCCTTTTCCTTCAGAACGCTGAGGCAGGTTCTTTTACAGGCCGTCTTTCTGTCCGGGCCTGTGGGTGCATTCTTGTTCCCATGATAGAGGTGGTGTTACTGGACATACTCTTAGTAATAACGATATTGAAAATTATTAAAATCAACGTTACTGTCATTATCTTTGTTAATGCCACCAGCTACTTCTGTTTTTTTTAATTTCATATGCATGTAATATATCTTCATTCGTTTCTGTTCTTCTGCACGTAAGAGAGAGAACAGCGTAGTCAGGATGGCCGAGCGGTCCAAGGCGCTGCGTTCAGGTCGCAGTCCGGTCTTCCGGGCGTGGGTTCGAATCCCACTCCTGACAAGGCCTTTAAAAGGACGACCATAGAGAGACAATTGCACGTTCAACATTTACAATTATCTCAATGACAACTAAACCCGATCTTATTTCTGTTGAAACTCGTGGTCGGGGATACAGACTACCACGCTGTCTGGCCCACTTATAATTACGCGTTGCTAGTCATCATGTAAGTGTTTGCGTGTGTTTTAAAACTTTTCATGATGCAGTGTAAATTCGATATACGAAAGGGCCTCATCAAAAGGTATTAATAATCAATAATTTTATTAAGAATCATACGAGTTTCTCCATGTGTTAGCTAATGAAGTAGAGCTGCACTTCAGCCGCTGTAGCCATAACCTGCAAAGGATAAGGTTTAGTATTAGTACCTCCGTCAGAACAAATGAAACCCTCTTCATATTCTTGAAGAATTGCATTATGCTGCAACTGAATGTCTACAAAATAATACTAAAAAGACACATTACCTCCGGAGGGCTTGCAGTACTGGTCGACAGTGACGTACTCCTGCTGCGGGACGGTTGTGGTGACGTAGTGTGGCACTGTCTCCGTGACGTAGTGGGGCACTGTACTGTCTCCGTCTCTGTCACATAGTGGGGCACGGCCTCGGTCTCAGTCACGTACTGGGTGGTGTACTGGACGGAGAGATGGGACGCTAAATTAATTACAAAGCCAACTAAGATATAACGTAAAAGAAAATGAGAGAAATAGAGATGAATAAACAAATAAAAATATATCTATTTTTACTGAACTATCTGGAGGTGTAAGCGAAAGCAGACATGGTAAAAATAGTTGACAGGTACTTACCGCGGTGTGGTACTTTGTCTGGGTGTGGTCTCGGGTCACAGTGACATAATGGGGCACCGACTGCGTCTTGGTCACGTATTTGACCACAGGAGGGCACGGCTGGAAGGGTAAAGTGGATAGTTTAGAAATTCTAAGTGGAATTTACACTGACACCTTTGAAGCCAATCATGAAACACTTCGTAATTCAGGCAGATGTTTGTCTGAGGACTGCAAATGGAAATGAAACGGGAATTTGTATTATGAATAAAATATATCGAAAAAGTCTACAATTAATCGTTCCAACCTCTGCGTAGCCATACTGAGCTTCCACGACCGCTGCTGCCAGAAAGATGGTTGCGAAAACGACACTGGAAAGATGAAGAAGCAAATCTTTATTCAGTATATTAGTTCAGTATACATCCTAAAATGATAAAAAGATGCACATATGCTATTATAATTTTTCCAGGCAGATATTACAATTTGAGGCGACTAACCGAATCATGTTGGAGATGTTTAAGTGACGCTGTTATCTGAACAAACCACTGGTGAGCACTTCAGGAATAGCTTGCTGTTGACGGCCTTATATACTTGGGATTTCTCCTTCCTGGCCTTCCCGCCCACTGTGCAAGGTCGCCGCATGAGAGAATTTGCGAACTGAATTTATAGGTTAAGCTTTTATTATAGATATCACAACAAACAGGTGTCGGGAATGCAAGGAAGGTCATGGAGAGATGCGACGGAGCTATATAAAGGCCACCAACACTCCACGCACTCACAGTTCCCTGCTAACTCCATAAGGAACACTACTTTAAGATGCATTTGTGAGTTTTTCTTTTGCGTTTCTTTACTGCGGAAGAAAGAGGCCACTTCTTCCCGATATTAGAAGTGAGACATTCCGAGGGTATTTCATATTTGGCTTCAAATAACACAGAGTGCTTTTTTCCTCAGCTCCTTCCTGACGGCGCTCTTGATGGCGGCAATGGTGGCGGCGGCTCCTGAGGCCCAGTACGGCTATCAGGCCCCTGTGAGTGACGCCTTCGTAAATGTTTGAATGTTATTAATCAGCATTTTCCGAATGCACTTTCTGAAGTCAGAAAATGAGCTAAATCTCATGCGTTCTCGCCCCCAGAAGTGCCAGCCTGAAACCCAGTACGTGACCCGGACTGAGACCGTGCCCGAGTACGTAACCACAACCCAGTACCAGACTCAGACGGAGTACAAGACTCAGGTAAGCTCTCACACTACTTCATGTTGTTTTTAAGGATCCAGTGCTAGTGCCCTTACTCTCATAATAAAAGTCCACATCTAACCTTTAATCATTGCATTGCTACAAAAGCCATTCCCATTGCAGTACCAGCCGCACTACGTCACCCATACGCAGCAGGTGCCACAGTACGTCACCCAAACGCAGACGGTACCCGAGTACATCACCCAGACAGTGCCTCAGTACGTCACTAGGACGGAGTACGAGAAGCAGTACGTCACCGTCACCAAGCCATGCCAGAGCTCAGGAGGCAAGTGGTCCTTAACGAATGATATATTTTCGCCGCAGAACAGTATTCAAGAAATGTTTTGTTCTGTTCAGCTTGCTTGTGTTGATATTATTTCTTTAAGATATTCATTGTTTTTCTGCTTTCACAGGTTATGGAGGATATCACGGCTAATATCTCCCGAGGAGTCTCCGTGGTATTTAAGGCTCGGACACGGCTTTTACAATTTATATAATAAACAGTTTAATAAACTGATCATTTTGCATTCCCTGATACTAAAGACTGCCGTACTTGAACATTATCTACCTAAGAGATATTAAATCTCATGGAATTTATAAGTTTAAATTCTTTTAAAGGCACACATACACACCTATCACACACACACAAACACAAACACACACACATATATATGAGTGTGTGTGTGTTTGTGTATTTATGTATATATATATATATATTTATTGTGTGTATATATATGTATATATATGAATATATATATGTATATATATACATATATACACATGTATGTATGTATATATATGTATATACAGACACACACATATATATACACACACACTCAGACATACACACATATAAATATATATATGCACCAACACGCACACACATATATATGTATATGTATACCTGTATCTCTATATATGTATATGTGCATATGTATACATTTTCATATATAAACATACATACACATACACATACACAAACAGCAAACATTATCCTGATTATAATCAGAATATTCATGAAATTTCAAAGGAAAAATACTTCTCCATCATATATGTGTATGTGTATATATGTATATATATGTGTATATATGTATATCTCAAGCTATATCTATATACGTATATATATGTATATATATATGTACATACATACACACATGGCAAACATTATCATGGTCACAATCAGAATATTCATGAAATATCAAAGACAATAGATTTCTCCACCATACCTAATGCACATACTAATTAGATTTAAAAACAAAAAATGTTTCCCTTATTTTTCTGAGCCATTAAGCACTTTCAGATGAATTTCCCAAAAGGACCAAATAATCAGAACTTGCATCGCTTTGGAAATCCGTTTCTTCCCGTTCACGACTTAGAACAGCATTCCGCCCTCTTTCTCCTTTTCCTTCAGAACGCCGAGGCAGGTTCTTTTACAGGCCGTCCTTCTGTCCGGGCCTGTGGGTGCATTCTTGTTCCCATGATAGAGGTGGTGTTACTGGACATACTCTTAGTAATAACGATATTGAAAATTATTAAAATCAACGTTACTGTCATTATCTTTGTTAATGCCACCAGCTACTTCTGTTTTTTAAATTCCATATGCATGTAATATATCTTCATTCGTTTCTGTTCTTCTGCACGTAAGAGAGAGAACAGCGTAGTCAGGATGGCCGAGCGGTCCAAGGCGCTGCGTTCAGGTCGCAGTCCGGTCTTCCGGGCGTGGGTTCGAATCCCACTCCTGACATGGCTTTTAAAAGGACGACCATAGAGAGACAATTGCATGTTCAACATTCACAATTATCTCAATGACAACTAAACCTGATCTTATTTCTGTTGAAACTCGTGGTCGGGGATACAGACTACCACGCTGTCTGGCCCACTTATAATTACGCGTTGCTAGTCATCATGTAAGTGTTTGCGTGTGTTTTAAAACTTTTCATGATGCAGTGTAAATTCGATATACGAAAGGGCCTCATCAAAAGGTATTAATAATCAATAATTTTATTAAGAATCATACGAGTTTCTCCATGTGTTAGCTAATGAAGTAGAGCTGCACTTCAGCCGCTGTAGCCATAACCTGCAAAGGATAAGGTTTAGTATTAGTACCTCCGTCAGAACAAATGAAACCCTCTTCATATTCTTGAAGAATTGCATTATGCTGCAACTGAATGTCTACAAAATAATACTAAAAAGACACATTACCTCCGGAGGGCTTGCAGTACTGGTCGACAGTGACGTACTCCTGCTGCGGGACGGTTGTGGTGACGTAGTGTGGCACTGTCTCCGTGACGTAGTGGGGCACTGTCTCCGTCTCTGTCACATAGTGGGGCACGGCCTCGGTCTCAGTCACGTACTGGGTGGTGTACTGGACGGAGAGATGGGACGCTAAATTAATTACAAAGCCAACTAAGATATAACGTAAAAGAAAATGAGAGAAATAGAGATGAATAAACAAATAAAAATATATCTATTTTTACTGAACTATCTGGAGGTGTAAGCGAAAGCAGACATGGTAAAAATAGTTGACAGGTACTTACCGCGGTGTGGTACTTTGTCTGGGTGTGGTCTCGGGTCACAGTGACATAATGGGGCACCGACTGCGTCTTGGTCACGTATTTGACCACAGGAGGGCACGGCTGGAAGGGTAAAGTGGATAGTTTAGAAATTCTAAGTGGAATTTACACTGACACCTTTGAAGCCAATCATGAAACACTTCGTAATTCAGAGAGATGTTTGTCTGAGGACTGCAAATGGAAATGAAACGGGAATTTGTATTATGAATAAAATATATCGAAAAAGTCTACAATTAATCGTTCCAACCTCTGCGTAGCCATACTGAGCCTCCACGACCGCTGCTGCCAGAAAGATGGTTGCGAAAACGACACTGGAAAGATGAAGAAGCAAATCTTTATTCAGTATATTAGTTCAGTATACATCCTAAAATGATAAAAAGATGCACATATGCTATTATAATTTTTCCTGGCAGATATTACAATTTGAGGCGACTAACCGAATCATGTTGGAGATGTTTAAGTGACGCTGTTGTCTGAACAAACCACTGGTGAGCACTTCAGGAATAGCTTGCTGTTGACGGCCTTATATACTTGGGATTTCTCCTTCCTGGCCTTCCCGCCCACTGTGCAAGGTCGCCGCATGAGAGAATTTGCGAACTGAATTTATAGGTTAAGCTTTTATTATAGATATCACAACAAACAGGTGTCGAGAATGCAAGGAAGGTCATGGAGAGATGCGACGGAGCTATATAAAGGCCACCAACACTCCACGCACTCACAGTTCCCTGCTAACTCCCTAAGGAACACTACTTTAAGATGCATTTGTGAGTTTTTCTTTTGCGTTTCTTTACTTCGGAAGAAAGAGGCCACTTCCCGATATCAGAAGTGAGACATTCCGAGGGTATTTCATATTTGGCTTCAAATAACACAGTGTGCTTTTTTCCTCAGCTCCTTCCTGACGGCGCTCTTGATGGCGGCAATGGTGGCGGCGGCTCCTGAGGCCCAGTACGGCTATCAGGCCCCTGTGAGTGACGCCTTCGTAAATGTTTGAATGGTATTAATCGGCATTTTCCGAATGCACTTTCTGAAGTCAGAATATGAGCTAAATCTCATGCGTTCTCGCCCCCAGAAGTGCCAGCCTGAAACCCAGTACGTGACCCGGACGGAGACCGTGCCCGAGTACGTAACCACAACCCAGTACCAGACTCAGACGGAGTACAAGACTCAGGTAAGCTCTCACACTACTTCATGTTGTTTTAAAGGATCCAATGCCAGTGCCCTTACTCTCATAATAAAAGTTCACATCTAACCTTTAATCATTGCATTGCTACATAAGCCATTCCCATTGCAGTACCAGCCGCACTACGTCACCCATACGCAGCAGGTGCCACAGTACGTCACCCAAACGCAGACGGTACCCGAGTACATCACCCAGACAGTGCCTCAGTACGTCACTAGGACGGAGTACGAGAAGCAGTACGTCACCGTCACCAAGCCATGCCAGAGCTCAGGAGGCAAGTGGTCCTTAACGAAGGATATATTTTCGCCGCAGAACAGTATTCAAGAAATGTTTTGTTCTGTTCAGCTTGCTTGTGTTGATATTATTTCTTTAAGATATTCATTGTTTTTCTGCTTTCACAGGTTATGGAGGATATCACGGCTAATATCTCCCGAGGAGTCTCCGTGGTATTTAAGGCTCGGAAACGGCTTTTACAATTTATATAATAAACAGTTTAATAAACTGACCATTTTGCATTCCCTGATACTAAAGACTGCCGTACTTGAACATTATCTACCTAAGAGATATTAAATCTCATGGAATTTATAAGTTTAAATTCTTTTAAAGGCACACATACACACCTATCACACACACACAAACACAAACACACACACATATATATGAGTGTGTGTGTGTTTGTGTATTTATGTATATATATATATATTTATTGTGTGTATATATATGTATATATATGAATATATATATGTATATATACATATATACACATCTATGTATGTATATATATGTATATACAGACACACACATATATATACACACACACTCAGACATACACACATATAAATATATATATGCACCAACACGCACACACATATATATGTATATGTATACCTGTATCTCTATATATGTATATGTGCATATGTATACATTTTCATATATATACATACATACACATACACATACACAAACAGCAAACATTATCCTGATTATAATCAGAATATTCATGAAATTTCAAAGGAAAAATACTTCTCCATCATATATGTGTATGTGTATATATGTATATATGTGTATATATGTATATCTCAAGCTATATCTATATACGTATATATATGTATATATATATATACATATATACACACATGGCAAACATTATCATGGTCACAATCAGAATATTCATGAAATATCAAAGACAATAGATTTCTCCACCATACCTAATGCACATACTAATTAGATTTAAAAACAAAAAATGTTTCCCTTATTTTTCTGAGCCATTAAGCACTTTCAGCTGAATTTTCCAAAAGGACCAAATAATCAGAACTTGCATCGCTTTGGAAATCCGTTTCTTCCCGTTCACGACTTAGAACAGCATTCCGCCCTCTTTCTCCTTTTCCTTCAGAACGCTGAGGCAGGTTCTTTTACAGGCCGTCCTTCTGTCCGGGCCTGTGGGTGCATTCTTGTTCCCATGATAGAGGTGGTGTTACTGGACATACTCTTAGTAATAACGATATTGAAAATTATTAAAATCAACGTTACTGTCATTATCTTTGTTAATGCCACCAGCTACTTCTGTTTTTTAAATTTCATATGCATGTAATATATCTTGATTCGTTTCTCTTCTGTACGTAAGAGAGAGAACAGCGTAGTCAGGATGGCCGAGCGGTCCAAGGCGCTGCGTTCAGGTCGCAGTCCGGTCTTCCGGGCGTGGGTTCGAATCCCACTCCTGACATGGCTTTTAAAAGGACAACCATAGAGAGACAATTGCATGCTCAACATTTACAATTATCTCAATGTCAACTAAACCCGATCTTCTTTCTGTTGAAACTCGTGGTCGGGGATACAGACTGCCACGCTGTCTGGCCCACTTATAATTACGCGTTGCTAGTCATCATGTAAGTGTTTGCGTGTGTTTTAAAACTTTTCATGATGCAGTGTAAATTCGATATACGAAAGGGCCTCATCAAAAGGTATTAATAATCAATAATTTTATTAAGAATCATACGAGTTTCTCCATGTGTTAGCTAATGAAGTAGAGCTGCACTTCAGCCGCTGTAACCATAACCTGCAATGGATAAGGTTTAGTATTAGTACCTCCGTCAGAACAAATGAAACCCTCTTCATATTCTTGAAGAATTGCATTATGCTGCAACTGAATGTCTACAAAATAATACTAAAAAGACACTCTACCTCCGGAGGGCTTGCAGTACTGGTCGACAGTGACGTACTCCTGCTGCGGGACGGTTGTGGTGACGTAGTGTGGCACTGTCTCCGTGACGTAGTGGGGCACTGTCTCCGTCTCTGTCACATAGTGGGGCACGGCCTCGGTCTCAGTCACGTACTGGGTGGTGTACTGGACGGAGAGATGGGGCTTTAAATTAATTACAAATCCAACTAAGATATAACGTAAAAGAAAATGAGAGAAATTGAGATGAATAAACAAATAAAAATATATCTATTTTTACTGAACTATCTGGAGGTGTAAGCGAAAGCAGACATGGTAAAAATAGTTGACAGGTACTTACCGCGGTGTGGTACTTTGTCTGGGTGTGGTCTCGGGTCACAGTGACATAATGGGGCACCGACTGCGTCTTGGTCACGTATTTGACCACAGGAGGGCACGGCTGGAAGGGTAAAGTGGATAGTTTAGAAATTCTAAGTGGAATTTACACTGACACCTTTGAAGCCAATCATGAAACACTTCGTAATTCAGAGAGATGTTTGTCTGAGGACTGCAAATGGAAATGAAACGGGAATTTGTATTATGAATAAAATATATCGAAAAAGTCTACAATTAATCGTTCCAACCTCTGCGTAGCCATACTGAGCCTCCACGACCGCTGCTGCCAGAAAGATGGTTGCGAAAACGACACTGGAAAGATGAAGAAGCAAATCTTTATTCAGTATATTAGTTCAGTATACATCCTAAAATGATAAAAAGATGCACATATGCTATTATAATTTTTCCTGGCAGATATTACAATTTGAGGCGACTAACCGAATCATGTTGGAGATGTTTAAGTGACGCTGTTGTCTGAACAAACCACTGGTGAGCACTTCAGGAATAGCTTGCTGTTGACGGCCTTATATACTTGGGATTTCTCCTTCCTGGCCTTCCCGCCCACTGTGCAAGGTCGCCGCATGAGAGAATTTGCGAACTGAATTTATAGGTTAAGCTTTTATTATAGATATCACAACAAACAGGTGTCGAGAATGCAAGGAAGGTCATGGAGAGATGCGACGGAGCTATATAAAGGCCACCAACACTCCACGCACTCACAGTTCCCTGCTAACTCCCTAAGGAACACTACTTTAAGATGCATTTGTGAGTTTTTCTTTTGCGTTTCTTTACTGCGGAAGAAAGAGGCCACTTCTTCCTGATATTAGAAGTGAGACATTCCGAGGGTATTTCATATTTGGCTTCAAATAACACAGTGTGCTTTTTTCCTCAGCTCCTTCCTGACGGCGCTCTTGATGGCGGCAATGGTGGCGGCGGCTCCTGAGGCCCAGTACGGCTATCAGGCCCCTGTGAGTGACGCCTTCGTAAATGTTTGAATGGTATTAATCGACATTTTCCGAATGCACTTTTTGAAGTTAGAATATGAGCTAAATCTCATGCGTTCTCGCCCCCAGAAGTGCCAGCCTGAAACCCAGTACGTGACCCGGACGGAGACCGTGCCCGAGTACGTAACCACAACCCAGTACCAGACTCAGACGGAGTACAAGACTCAGGTAAGCTCTCACACTACTTCATGTTGTTTTAAAGTATCCAATGCCAGTGCCCTTACTCTCATAATAAAAGTTCACATCTAACCTTTAATTATTGCATTGCTACAAAAGCCATTTCCATTGCAGTACCAGCCGCACTACGTCACCCATACGCAGCAGGTGCCACAGTACGTCACCCAAACGCAGACGGTGCCCGAGTACATCACCCAGACAGTGCCACAGTACGTCACCAGGACGGAGTACGAGAAGCAGTACGTCACCGTCACCAAGCCATGCCAGAGCTCAGGAGGCAAGTGGTCCTTAACGAAGGATATATTTTCGCCGCAGGACAGTATTCAAGAAATGTTTTGCTCTGTTAAGTTTGCTTGTGTTCATATTATTTCTTTAAGATATTAATTGTTTTTCTACTTTGACAGGTTACGGAGGATATCACGGCTAATGTCTCCCGAGGAGTCTTCTTGGTATTTAAGGCTCGGAACCGACTTTCATAATTTCTTAAATATACTGTCTTTAAATATATTATATATTTTTTTTTCCTTGATGAGGCAAAATATACCGAAGAAAAATACGATACATATGGTATAAGATAATTATTTCTGTTGAATGATAAAGGA